AATGATTGAAACCGTGCACTTATATAATATATTTTTCAAAAAATAAGGAATATTTATGTTCAGGTGCACTGTTTATTTTATTTGTTTAATTCAATATTTTTCAATTAATTTTGTTACTGTTATAAACGACAAAATTGTTAATTAAAAAAAATTGAATAATATGCAGTATGCTGCAACACGTACATTACTAGACGTTTTTTGAAATAACAAATTATAAAAAAATAGTGTATATCTACCTTAATACAATAAAAAACTTTATTATTACTAAAAATTATTCGATTTTTTTCATACAAGTTTGCTTTGATATAAAAATTAATAGCGCACTCTTACCTGATTTATAGTTACTACTCTTAATTTTGTTAATAGAGTTAACATAGTAACCAGAATATAAATATAATGTATAAAGTTAAATGATATGTAGGATAAACATGAGGAACCGCGGCAGCGTGCAGGTGCATATCACTGCTCTGCGCCCGTCGCATCGATATCCAGCAGATCATAAAGAACCGGTAACAAAAGTGTCGCATACCTGCATTTCATTTCCAAAGTCTATGCAAGCACGCGGCTACCGTACCATTTAGAAGCCATTTATTTTTATTGAGGTGCAGTAAGAACAATTCGGACCCGGAGTTTGGGGCCTAGCCTGGTCCACTATTTAATCCTTTTTATTGCACTCTCCTTAGAGTCTGCATTAGGCATATAAAATTATTTTCAGAATAAATTGTGCATCCCAGATTTTCGGAAAAAAATGTGTATCAAGAGTAATGACCATAATTTAATATAAAAACAAAACCATGATATTACTTGGGGGCGACGTCCTTAAGGTGTGTGTGTTATATCACCGACCTGTTGTATGTGGCAACTTATTGTAGTTATTCTCTTGAATATTAATTGTTGTGTTAAAAACTAAGATTTTCATCCAACAATCCATACAAATTACAAAGGTTAAGGCCTGCTGTCTAGCTGATCACGCAAGTGGATCTACCCACTTATTAAAGTAATGTCAAAAAACATGCTAAAATAGACAGTGCTTCATCTTGTAATAACTACATATTTTCTCTGACATTCAGAAGTATGTACATCTTTTAGAAGACTTTCGCCAGTTACCCACACAACAACTTAATGTGAGTATTATGAAAATTGTTAATTTATTCCATCCATTACACGTTTTCTGGTACTCTAGATCTTCCATCTACGATATCCCGACAGCGGTGTCTCTACACCTTTGCATAACCTGATCGCGATGATGGGTGAACTCGTAAGGGAAAACATTCTACATGTAGCTGGGATATAACATTGGCAGTCGGACGACACTCCATAAATTAATAATATGTCAACCAATCTATTACTGTCATGAACGTGGGCTATAATTATTCATCAAAATATCATAGTCAAAATCCGCAATAGAACCGACAGGAACATATAAGATAATATAATAAAAACATTCACAAAAAAAATGAATACCTTAGGTTCCAGTATGGTTTGTGTTTAATATGCAGCCGATTGATTTACTTTTACAACTGTGGAAAGCTGTAGCTGCCTTATTTTGGAGTGGTTTAAAGAATGGAATTTGAAAAAATTCTTGTTATCATACTGCATATTTAATTAAAGGTAGTTCTGTAACTAGAAACAGGAAAATATAAATAGACTCTAAAAGAAAATCTATTAATACGAAAAAATGTAATTATGCAACTTAAATTCCTGACGTTGATCCCCTTGTTCCAACAATACAATTCCTTCTAAACTGTAGTAGATGATGATTTCAACTATGGCACTTTTTTATTTAATTTCGATACCAACATTCTTCACAAAAAATTTTCATTGTAAGAGTCAGTATGCTGAAATTATTTCTCATGCACCACTAATGGTATTTCCATTTTCACAGTTTACATTTACGAAATATTTTGTTCGTCCAAAAAAACCCTCATCGAAATTTATGGAAAATTGAAAATTATGATCGGGTAAAGAAAAAATAGGAACGCCTCAGAAAACACCGCTGAGATACGGATGATTCCATAAGACCATAACAGGCCCCAACAGCGTGCCGAATTATTATTTTATTCTTCCTTTTATTTTAACTTTTTTTATGTTAGGGTTGTGGTATTGCTTTATTGCAATTTATTTTAGCCAATTGCTTTAATTAATGTTTTCACCTTTCCAATTCTATTCTATTTTACTTTCAAATATGTATTGTATATTGTAAATTAGTTTATAATTGTTTCATTCACTCTTCCAGCTCCCAAGTGTCTAACACATCAGGAGACTACCACCACTGTTCTGTTGTTTTCAAATGTTATGTACAAACCGCAAATTAATTAGTTCAAAATAATCTTGCATAACTTCATCACTCCATCAGATCGAATTTCCTTCCTCTACCTCAATTCCTTTCATCAACACGTGTTTACTTTTACTTTGATTAATAATATTAATATGCACTTCAAACTCATTCACTTCACATCGCTAATTCCTTTTTTTATCTCGTTAACAAAGAGACATCATTTGCTTACGCAATGAGAGACGTTCGCTTTGAAATAAATCTAAATGTCTTCCAAAAGCGTATCTAATTCGTTTCTGCTGTAGAATTGATATTACTCCTGTTACCGTTATAGTTTTGCGATTTGTAGATGGTCAATAGATGTATATAGTATTAATAAACAAAATCTAAAACTTTTAACGTAAATTTGTTCTTGTTATATCGGACTGTCTTCCTGTGTCTAATATTCCTTGTACATATAGCTACCACAGATTTTCCAAAAAGAAACAATTTAAGTAAACATACCTATGTACCTCCATTCAAAATAGTTTCGTCTAGCTGTTAAAGAGTCATCTACAATTAAAGTCCCCCTTCCCTTAATTTTTTGTTGCTATGGTTGTTTGTTTGACATTTACCGATTTAAATAAGAATTTACAGTACCTATCTGAGACTGTCAGTTAACGATAGTGTGTCGAAACTTGTGATATTTTCCTTATTTTTTTTAATCCGCGTATTTATTTTAATTGCCGTAATGGAATTTACGTTTGCTGAATATACATACATAAATTTATTGTTTGGACTTGCATCATGTAATACCTTAGAAGCCAAAAGGCTTTATGAAGAACGATTTCCAAATCGAAAAATTCCTAATAGGAAAACTTTTGAAAGAGTGGATCAGCGTTTAAGAGAGACTGGTAAAAATTACAATGTATTTGTTACTTGCATTAGAGTACTTTTTGAGTAGGTAATACTTATGTAGAATTAAAATGCTGTAAATAATTTTAGGAACGTTTGCCAAAGCTAAACACAATCGTGGAAATCAAATTAATCGCGGTGAGGTTGCTGAAGATATCCTAAAGCAGAACCTTCAAAAAGTGTCCGGAAATTAGCTGCCCAGTTTAATTGCCCAAAATCTACAGTTCTTAGAATCTTTAAAGAGAAGCAATTGCATCCTTATCACCTACAGAAAGTCCATGCACTTCTTCCTGTAGACTTTCCGCGAAGGATAGAATTCTCTTTACGGGCCAAGCTGGATTTTGTAAAATTTGAATCGCAAACTCCCATAATTTGCATTTATGGGCAGAAGAAAATCCACATGCTTTTTTTGTGACGCATTATCAGTACCAGTTTGAACCCATTAACTTATGGGCCAGAATCATCGGGCAACGTTTCATTGGACCATTTGTATTGACTAGAAGGTTAGCTGGGGAACTTTATTTGAAATTTCTCTAAGACAACATGCCAGAACTTTTAGACGACCTACCTCTGGCAATACGACATGGTATGTGGTTCATGCATGATGGAGCACCACCCCATTTTAGTTTAGCAGTTAGAGGACACTTAAACAGGCATTTCGAAAATAGTTGCATAGGAAGAGGAGGACCAGTAGCTTGGCCTCCTCGATCACCAGATTTAAATCCATTAGATTTTTTTACAGGCATATTTAAAAACTTTATTAAAAAATGATTCATTTTCATTGTCGCGAAATAAGGAATTGCAGCACTGTGAAAAATCCAACAATCTGTAACTCGCAGGGCTAGGGAATTCATAACATTAGAAAGAGCTTAAGTTGAGCCGACATACAAAATTATGTAATAAAAATCATATTAAACAACAATAGCTTTTCTCGAAAACAGTTCATTTTACCGATATCAACCAAGTGTACCTTTTTTAGTTTAAGATTCAAACTATCTAAAAATATTATTTTTGTGTCTTTATCGTAAAGGGTGTAAACAAATTGATATTATTGTGCTACAGCTAGTCCGTCCCTGGCAAACCAAATAAGCCAAATTGTTTTCATGGGTCAATTCTTAAGGAGTCTTATCTGTTATCCATCGTATTAAAAAATAGTTAAACTACACAAAGTATTTTAAGTTATTAAAAAAAAATTGATTTTCAGTGGCATCCTTTAGGGGTCTCCGTCCCTCTAGGCCAGGGGTCGGCAAGTAATTTTAGGTGGGGTCCGGATACTTTTGAAAATTTTTAACGAGGTAAAGAAAAAAATTTGTTTGTTATTTTTTTATTTTAATTTGGACTCAAATTTAATCTGCTTACTAACCATTAAGAACTCACACACTCACACAATTGTAAAATACTAGAAAAAATGATAAGATTGGCACTTAAACATAAAAAATATTTTTTAAATTGAGTAATTTATACTTTCAAAAAATTTTTGGCGGTCCAGTATTTTACCTTGCGCGGTCCGGACCTGGACAGCGGTCCGCCAGTTGCCGACTCTTGCTCTAGGCCCTCTAAGGAAATTTTTTATAGGAACTTGTCATGTTATTTTAACGTCCCCTGTATAAATCCAAGAGACTGCCGACATATTCTGTATATTTGTAATTGAAATTGAATTTTAAATTATTTTGGAAACCTTTTGCGTTTCAGCGTTGCTTCCAGTTGATAGTGTCTAAGAAGGAATTAAAGGGATAGGCAGATATCCACTTAGATATACATTAAATACATAATATATCTAATTCATTGTTATCTGAAATTTTATTAATATATTAGAGTTCATAAATCTTACCTAGAGCTGAAGTATATTTTATAACAGGCTTAGCCACCAGCTGCTTATCGTAAAAGGACGACAATAATGGCGCCGATTTGATCACTGGTACCACCTGCTTGACGTACGTCGGTACTACGTGTTTGTAGACGGAGGGAACTACCTGCTTCACTACCGCTGGTGCGACCGACGCGTGGACAGATGGCGCGCTCTTCGACACCACGGCATTGAACCCGTTTACAGGGTCGGCAACATAGTCTACTACGCGGATAGATCCGTCGGGCTCCACCAGGGAGTACTGGCCTTTCACCACGTCCCCATCTCTGCTCTCCTGCTGAGCCTTGACATCACCGGTGTGCGGGTCGGAAACTCCGTACCTGAAAGCGTATTTCGGATGGGACTGAAAAAAAAATAATAAATGAAATTATTATAGATTAAAATCCAAAGTTTTTTAAATACAAATAAAGTAATTAGGTATGTTGTGCGCTATAATATTCTATCACCGAAATGGTGATTATTTTGTCAAAAATTAGAAAGAAAAGAACAGGCCATGTGAATATATACTTCAAAGGTAGTTTCTTTAGATGAAAATAAGCCGATTCAGATTAAATTAGCTTTCGCTTCTTTAAAAATTTGTCTGCCTTCAGAAAAATATTTTATTGAATTTCTTAAGAGAACCCCATAACATTTCAATAAAATTTAATATGAGATGTTTTTTATGATAACCAAGTGTGAAAATTTTTCCTTATAGGTCGCTAAAAACATCTTAAACTGTGTTTTAACTTTTTTGACATATTTATTTTATTGGTCAAAATTTTGAGAAAACGAAGATGTTTTTTCAATTTTTCAATTGTAGTATCAGTTACGGACACCTGAGTATTTAGGAGTATTCTAGGTAAATTGAATTTCCATATAAAATAAATATTTTTTATCCAATTTGTCCCCATGCTAGGATATAGCATGAATTTAAATTTTGCGATATAATACATTCAAAGGCCTATACGAGGTCTGTACAGAAAATAATAATAATTTTATTCTTTGAAACTTTATTATCAATTTTATACATTATTGATCTTTGTTTCCTTCAAAGGACTCCCCTCCTCTATTCACACACTTTTTCCAGCGCTATTTCCATTTCGCGAGCAGTCCTGGATAGCTTTATTTGAAATGACCTTTAAAGTCTGTGACGAATTTGCTCTGATGTCATCAACAATCTAAAAACGGCGTCCTTTCAGCACTGACTTTAATTTCGTAAATAAGAAAAGATCGCAAAATATCAGGTCTGGCGAGTAGGGAGGGTGAGGGAGGACAGTAACCTGATTTTTGACACAATACTGACGACTTAAGAAAGCTGAGTGTGCGGGCGCATTATCATGGTGCAAGAACCATGAGTTGTCTCGCTACTACTCTGTTCTCTTTTTGCAGATTTTCTCACGTAACCATTGTAAAGCGCCTTGATAGTACACACGGTTCACCGTTTCACATTGAGGCAAAAATCAAAAATGCATAATTCCATTAAAGTCGAAAAATACAGTGGCAGCACTTTGACATTGGATCGAGACCGACGTGCTTTCTTGGGACGTGGAGATCCTTTGCCAATCCATTATAATGATTGAACTTTTGTCTCAATACTGTAGACGTAAACCCAGCTTTCGTGTCCCGTTATGATTCTTTGAATGAATGTTTTATCGTCAATCGAGTAACAAATTTTGCTGTAACTCGATGCATGGTCAATTTTTCAGTCAAAATTTGATGGCATGACCCAATTGAGATGCTAACTTCGTGTGCAATTTCTGTGATAGTCAATCGGCGATTTGCACGTATCAAATTTTTGAAGGTTGAACTCATCAGTTGAAGTCGAAGACCTTCGTGATCCAAGAACATCTTCAGTTGACTGACGACCACTCTTAAATCATGAAAACCATTCGTAACATTGCGTACGACACAGAGCATCATCTCCGTAAGCTTGTTTCAAAAGTTGAAACGTTTCCGTGAAAGTATTCCTCAGTTTCACACACAATTTTACATTGCATCATTGTTACAGAAAACCGCACATTTCAAAAATCGTCACTAACATTACGTTGTACTCAAGTAACAATATAGCGAAAACAAAATGAAATATCAACAATTCAAAAACATGTGGTTACAAAGGAGGTTGTGCGCAACGCAATGCTGCCAACCGCATATCACTAAATATCTCCATTAGCGCGTAATTAAAAAAATTCGGTTACTTTCTGAGCAGACCTTATACTCAGTTGCGAATTTTTCACAAGAATTTTAATTGTATTTATTAAAATATTTCCAAATGCTCGGCCTAACTGGCGATTGCAGCAGTAAAAACTAAATCATTGTTTCTATTCATTTTTTAATGTAAATAAAATTGCTTCTTGAAAACATCTGTGAAATTGTGCTAAGGTAACATGATTTAGATCAGTTTATTTTCACTCAAGGAAACTACCCTTGAAATATGGACCATTCGCTTCCAATCTCTCTGTGAGTGATACTTTGGAACCAGAGAATTGCTTTATTTTATCCTTTGTAAGTGTTTTGATACAATTAATCAAAATATGAGAAAGCATGGTTACATTTTTATGTGGTTTATGGACTAGCCTCAAGTAAATCCGAAATAATGTGGTTTCAAATCTTGTGGCCTAACCGGAAGCGAATAGAACTATTGTACCAATATTAGATGTAGATACATAAAAGGAAGAACAAACGAAAATTTAAAAAAAATGTTATCCTCTATCTCAAAAATTAAACGTTTGTATTTTTTTCTAATCTTTATTCAATGTACAATTTTGTTGGAATCCCAAAATGCCTTATTATCAGAAATAATGAAAAAAATGTCGAGAAAATTGTCGAAAATTTTCAGGAGAGATGTTTAATTATTGGAAGTTTTCAGTTGAACTTGCACGAGGGAAGATATGCAGAAAATTATGCTAAAAATCATGAATCTAAACATTACATACATCAAATTTTTAACATTCATTACAGTCTGTCTTTGACTATCAAACTTTAATTATAATTCAAACTTATTTATAGTTTAACTTGAATCCTTGTTGCCTACCAATATGAAAATAAATATGATGAAAAAAATATATATACTGTCGCAGTTATTTAAAAATAAGTGTCAATTTACTTTTTCATAGATAACAAAATAACCAAATAAACATAAAGAAATTATTTAACTATGTTATGAAGAATTATTTCCAAATAAAAAAAGTCCACTATGTTTTTTTTTCAAATGTGTTTCAGAAACGCTCTATATAATTTTTTAAAGTGTCTTTTTCATCTTATATAAAGGTCTAAAAGTTTGCGGAATATTTCCCTCACACTACCTCGTCTGCCATTTCCAAGTGTTCTGACCTCCCTGAAGACTGATGGGTTGAGTTTCGCACCTATTTTGAGTAGGTACTCACTTCCCTTATTGCTTTCAGTTTATTTTCAGAAGGTATTATATTTGAGATTAATCAACTATTTCATAGTGTTTATTAAATTTCAATTTTATAAATTCGCTTCAAGAAAATATAATTGAAGCTTGAAATTTTTATCAAGAAATGTTTAATTACAACTTATTAATGTCCGACATTATTAACTGTATTGTGCAAATTATTTTATGTTATGTATTTATTGGTAAGTATTACTATTAAAAATCAATTTGCCAACAATACTATAAATTCTGAAATACGTGCCAAAAAGTATTAATGTATTAACAAATGAAGTGTCCAGTTTTTATTTTAAATGAACTAAATACAGATAAATATGTTTATTGTGCAAGCATAATATTTAAAATTTTCCTATTTTAAGTTTAACTATCCCACAGTTTTCGACTGATAATGATGTAATGGTTACAACATACTTTCTTAGTGAATAGAACAATGCAGATATTGTTTCAGTTTCCACTTGACCTAAATTACCACATTTTTACAAATTACAGAAATTAAAGAAAATGGACTAATATACACATATTTAAAGGCGTTGTTATACAATTTTCACACAACAGTTAATGATTATACAAGGCTTCTAGTTTCTTTCTGATCCAGATTTCTGAAATTAAAACTAAGCTGGTTTTTCGCCGAAACATTCCTTGAGTACATTGTAAAACTTTTAAGATTAATTAATATATTGTATAAAGTAAAAATGAAAAACAATTACATGATTTTATAATATTTACTAGATGCTCAGTCATTTCATGGAATAAAAAAATCATTTGGGTAACTACATTAAAAAAATATTATTGTTCTCGCTTTTGATATACATGCATATGACTGCATATTTTAAAATACGGATACAAAGTTTTTAATTTACTTACGTAATAATCAACTGCATGACCATGTGGCTCGTATTCATCTTGGTGATGTCTTGATATGACGCCACCCAGCACATGTGATGTTAAACACAGAGCTGCTATTACTAACTGGAAAATAAAATAATGTGTACGTGAAATATTGTTAAATTTTAAATAAAATTATAGATGTTTTTTAAAGTTATGTTAATGATAAAATAAAAACGTATCTCAAGATAATCTAAGTTCAACCCTGTTGCACAAAGTCAATAAATCATCCAAGTAATTATTTTCCATTTAAAATCAGCAATATACCTAAGTTGTCCTCTAAAATTGTAATAATTAGTAATGTTTGTCGGTTTTAGAAAAGAGTTTACCTAATTTTACTGGTTAGTGTACGTTTTATTTTAGTTTAAATTATCAGGGCTGCACATAAAACTCGTTGCATTATGTGAATTTTGGCGATGATTTAATATTGAATCGGAGTTTCAACTTTGGAGAAAAACTCAATTTATGAGAAAATCAAAAAAAAACAAATTATTTGATATTCTTAAATATCTAAGTTACTTCAAATATTACTTCTTTACAAAGATTCAGTGAGATCGTATTGAATTGTCAATAGAACTACTTCTTGAAATGAGATAATGGCTTTTCCCATAAATAATAATTTCCCTTTTTCAAAAAAAAAGGGACATGATGTAAATGATTGTTCAATATCATTTCCCAGAAACATGAAAAATTTTAGAAATCTAAAAACGATTCTGAAGAACCTAGAACCCCCTATGTCTCTAAACGATGGAGTTTTTAGAAGTACGATGTATTTTTACTCATTTCCCTTAAATTTTTCCGATAGTTTCGCGATACCATGTATTTATTGAGCACTTCATTCATTTCTTGCTAATTTGATGGCTACGAATATTTATTTTTGAACAATGATTACTAAATTAAGCAATGTAGATACTGAACGTATTTAACACCAATTCAATCACAGATTTTAGAAATCACTGTTTGTTCAAAGTAAATATAGTAATTTATTTCGCGTTTGGTTGTCTCTTATCCATTGGCCATCTGTTACTTTTATTTTTATTAATTAAAGAACAAACTAAGAAACTAAACAACAAATTAATTTAGTCATACAGATGAAACTTGAAATATAAGTTTATAATGAGGCTACATCTTGCACTAATTAAATTTAAGTGGTAAGTAGTATGTCAGTATTAGATTACAATATTACTGTTATTTACTAACGATATTAATTTTTTAAAACGAATTTGTTCGGAATGTATGTTCTTATCTTTTAGAAAAGATGACTCATTTATTTATGATGAATTCCAGCATTTTGCTAAAGGTGAAAAATTTGATGGTGTAAGAAAACTAATTTTAAAATTATTATTTAAAGGCATAAACCTAGAGCAATACACTGATTTTTTAAATATAAAATGTATTGAAAAAGTACAAACATATAAATTGAAATCAAAAGTAGTTCAAAATTTTACACAAAAACCAACAATTTAATATTCTTTTTCAGAAACACATATTCATCTAAATGACGTTTAATAGGTCTAAGAAAATATCTAAAATTGTCCAAGATCTCCTTCAAAATTAATTTGATTATTTTAAAATTACCTATATGGCTATGAAAATATGTCTTATATTTGTCTAAACTAAACTATTGTAGTTTAAAATTCTACATTATTGAAAAAATCAATAAATACAATACTGCACTGTATTCATGAATTTAATATTGTTTACTGGAACAGTATTAAATTGTTATACCTAACCTGTCTCGTCTGCATATTTACTCAAATACAATTTACCAGTAAAAACATTTTTTAACAGTAAGAGTAGAAGGTGTTTATAAGAGTGTCGACAAACTTTAAAGGACAATTCTTTGAGTGACAAAAAGCCAAAAATGTTATGATGAATGAATAGTTTTCGAGATACAGGGTGTTGAAATTAACAAAAAAAATACCTTTACTAAAATATCTCTGAATACGCTTGATGCAGATTGATGAAATTTAGGTAATCACTTATCCAACTAAAAGAAAAAATATTCTGAATTCATATACAAGTACAGTGACGGAAATACTGTACGCCACTGGATATTTTGAAAATTTTTTGACATCTAATTTTATTCGAAGAACTAACGAATGAACCATTTTCGACTTATAACTTTTTAAATTTCCATGGACCTTGCCAAACACTCGGCAAAATATAAAATGACCCTAGAACTACTCTTTCTACAAAAGTTCATGTTTTTTTTTTCTAAAAATCAATTTTAAATGCAAACTAATCATGATAAATCAGAAAAAAATCATTGGTTTGAAATTTTGCAATTTTGTTAAAAATAGAAATGGGTAGGTATAGCTCGGAAAAAAATATTCCAATAAATAATGTCTTTTCATGGCCGTATTGTATTGTACATTGTACACAATTTTGAAAATGTTCATTGGCGTCGAATTTTGAGTAAAAGTGCTCCCGGTTTGTCACCACTAGTAGGTACACTATTTACATACGAATTCAGTGCAGTTTCACTCTTAATTAGGTAAATCATCATTATGTATCAAACGTCTTTTCTAAAATACCAGGTGTATTTTCGAAAAGATGAAATGTTTCTTAAGTTCAACACACTGTATCTAGAAAGCTACCGATCTGCCATCTACCCATGTTTGTATAACCTTTTTGGCTTAAAATCACTAAAAATATTATACCCTTTAAAGTTTGTAGACGTACTTAAGTAACACCCTGTATATCTCAGAACTAAAGTGCGTCTTAACGTATAATGGATCATAATTACAAGTTATTAAAACTCTCTATGAGTAAACATCGTATATTTGATTTCCATGTATACAAAAAAAAAGTTGATTATTTTGAATCAAGAACGTATTGATTTTGTACATTTGTTTGACTATATCATAATCTCAAATTAAGCCAAGATTTATTTATTTAAATGAAGAAATTTTACTACAGTTAAAAATTCTGAGATGCTTAGTCTGAACAAATAAATCATTTATTTACATAAAATATATTATAACCTTGAATTAAGTAAAATTTCTTCATTAAAATAAGTCTCATTATATTCTTAATGAAAGAAACATTTATTTAATTCAAAATTCTCGTAAAAATTATTACTTTACTCTGTTTACCTAATTTGCTTCATTGTTAAAAAAATGCAGTGTACAATAATTAACATAAAAATATGCTTTTCTGTCGGTTTAAATGTCGATAAAACATTCGAAGACAACATTGTAAATGTTTTATATGTATTACATTTTTATCAGTGTGATAAAATAACTTTATATGGCACTAATAGTAAATTGGTCGCATTTAACATTAATCTGTATTTCTTCTTTTATTGTTGCAGGATAAAATCAATGGAAAACACTGCCTAGTGGTTAAATTAAACCAATGCAACGCATTTCAATGTTAAATTATTTCCTATAGTTTGTGCTCAGAATTCCCTTAGCAAAAAGTCAGAAATAGTGTTATATGAAGACTGTTACAATTTCAATAAAATACTGTGAATTTTCACAATTCTGTTGACGTATATCACTCCACTCTGTAATGGTTAAAATTTTTCAGGAAAACCCTGGTACGTTTCTGACTGCACAGTCGTTTCACTAAACCGGAATAAATGTACCAATTAATTATTCATATAACCACATCGCACTAATCGCTGAACACACAGGTGAAATATTAATTACCTTAAGTTGAGACATTTTCACTACTTATTTAACAAAACCTACTGGTGTTATAAACAAGAAAAATTCACACACACACTAACACAGTTTTCTTCATCTACTAGTTATATACGCCTCCCAAGTTACAATAGCTACAGTGTTCCTCCCTCCTAAAGTGTGGTAACCCGCCACTGAAACAAGGACACCACCCTAATAACCTTGTGCGCGGAAATTTTCCAAAATTTTACCTTTATTTTGTCTCTCCTTAGCTGGGAAATTGATAGCGGTATGATAGGAAGAACAATACGAATTTTAATTGCTAATTAAAATCTGCGAATTGTATAATTCAATGAAAGTAAAAAGACATACTTACCTAACGAATTGTTCTCTAAGACTTTGTAATGGCAATTCAGTTTATTATAAACCGGGTAAAGAAAGTTTGACTAATACACTTTTAATATTTTTTGACTTGACATTTATGTATTGAAAAACATAAGTTCAACCAATAATTCAATTGCCACTTAACAATTTTTACTAAAAATATTTCTTGTATGAAATGTGTTTAAAAATATATATTTTCTCCATATTTATATCTAGAATCCTGAAGTATTTCCATTTTTCCAACGAATATGTTCTTTTTTATTCTTCCGTAACCTATTGTCAGTTATTCTAATAGAAATATTCATTTGATTATCACTTTGGTTTTAGTTTACACGTGAGCAAATTAAGATTTATATCTGTTTGTAACTTTTTAGTTGTTGATTCATATGTAGAAATCGGAAATGTTAGGGCAGCTGCAAGGTGGTACAGGGTTGGTGGTAGACCGTATTATCTTTTATGTAATTTTATTCAAACAAAAAGTAACAACAGTTAGACTAAATTATTGGTTTCAACATGATTGAGCTCCATCACATTATGGTTTACGAGTATGAAATTATCTTAATCAAAACTTGAGACAGATGGATCGGAAGAGGGAGGCCATGGCCTCGTAGATCACCAGATCTGAATTCCCTTCTTTTGGGGTTATTTAAAAGAAAAGATTTACAGCGAACCTGTTGTAAATCCAGAAATTGTATAAGCCCGTATACACGCTGCTGTCGCGTTAATAAACCAAGAGATGTTACAAAGAGTTCATACTTCAATGTTGAATCGTGATAATCTTTGTCTTGGAGTAGAAAGCAACTTGTTTGAACACCTTCTGCAGAAACAATTTCTATTATTTAAGCACATTATAGTTTTAGTTTATAAGTTTTTTCCTCTTCATTTTATAAAACTGTTTTATTATTAAAATGTTTTTCTCTATCCTTTTCAGATTAAAATAATTCCTTACACCCAGATACAACCGACAATCGGAAACTATACTTGCCTACTATTAGTTATAAATTATTTGTCTTTGAGATAAAAAAAATTGATTTTAATTTTTTTAGTTTTTTGAATAATTTTTTCAATAACTCAAGAAAGAAAAACAATCGGAAAAGTTTCAACTCTTGATTTTGAATTCCTTTTTGTCTCCTTATTCAAATCCCAGAAGTACGGGCGTCACTTTTGGGACACAATGTGTATAGCTAAAGAAAATAATTTCGCACTCTTGGATGGATTGCAGCCTTGGGAAATTTTCAAAAACAACTTCAGATTTCATCTTTAATGAAATTGAAAATGCGAAGATGTATACATTAGATAATTAGAAGCAAATCAAATTTCTATTTAAAAAAGACAGTAGGTATACAAATAAACAATATACTTTCTGAAAATAGTAACTTGGAATTATTTTAAAATAAAATCTGGGAAGTACTACAGAAAAAGAGGATACCTCTCTTACTACGGTCTTTCTCGGATAGCAAAACAAGTATCAGCTAGTCTTGTAATATTGACCGAGTAAGTTACACTCACTGCTACGTCATCGACTGCACATGAGAATATTTAAACAATACACCATCATATGATAGGTATGACTAAATGTAATCACTAAGTTTTCTATTGATGATGAGATGTGATGAGAAATGTTCTTCGCTTACTAAAAACCGTTACCATTGCATAATGAAAACTTAAACAATTAAAACCGAATCCCATGGTGTAATGGAGATTAGATTATTAAATTAATGATATAATTACCATGGGTCTCAGTTAACGCTTCTCTATCGACATAAGATTAACAAAGTAACTGTTTGCCACTCGTATTACAGCGTTAATAACTGTTTACGCGTTAATAACTGTTTACGCGTTAATCTGTTTCTGCAAGGTGATGATAACGCTTCGTATTTTTTTATAATAATTATAAGCAATCTTACGATTACCCGGTTGAGGTAACTCATTTCCTCTATATGATATTAATTGATATAACTACTTAATAGGTTTTTAATAGCGTAATTCCACATAATTATTGCAATACGTGAATTATTTTAATGATACCCTGTACCTATAAAAAAAATCAATTATTAATACATATATAAATACCGTTTTATGGACTAATAATAATATAAGGGTTAATATCAATATCTTTGATATTACTTAAAGTAGTATTATGATGATTCCTAATACTGTTTCAAGGAACAATAGCAATAAACGAAAACTCAGTTGTTCCCATAGTTGTTCCGAAATTTTAATTTATTTAGTATTTAAGTATAGTGAGAATAAAAAAAAATATTTTCTGGTTTTAACTTCAACCAATTTTTAAATTACTTAAATTCATAGAAAAGACTAATTTACTTGACTATACTAAATACTATAATAAACTTAAACAACAATTTTAGTAGATACAGCTTGGCCAAACTCATCTTGTCCGCAAAATGCGTATATCAAGAAGAGAGTCCGCTGTAGGAGTGACAAAGACAGAAAGACAGTAGAACCTTCTAATACCGACCACCCTAGGGGAATCAAAACTTGGTTACTAAAGAAAGGTGGTCGTTTAAAAGAGAATACATCAAAATCATAACTACTCATAGACAGGGTGTCTTAAACTCGATTGTATGGGCCCACTGTGAGGATACAAAACATTTAAATAAAATTTGGGACACGTGGTGTTAAATGGGATGAGGTAAGCTCTCTTTTCAATAGAAAGTATTATCTTTGGGATTTAACAGAAATGACTAATACGTCATCAATTATATTTTTCCAGAAACATATCTAAATTTTTTTACTGTTAAAAAACTCTTTTTTCTGATAAACTTTTATTTGAGAAATGTTTCTGTATTACTTCCCGTTTAAAAGTTATAAGCAATATCGTCCTAAAGAATCTCAAAAGAAATACCACCTAAAAATCACATTGGTGGTGGAAGGATCAAGTAGTCGTTGGAAAATAATTGAATGTTCGTTGTTTAAAGTGCATAAATGTCACAAACTACTCAATACGAACGCCAAACGTATAACTTTTGTGCATACAAAATGTTTTCTCATTCAGAAAAAGTTGATATGTTGCTAATTTACGACGAGTTACAAAAAAATTCGAGAAGAGCTGTAGAGTTATATCGAGAAGGGTATCTACAGCGCCTCATTCCTGATCATAGAACCTTTACAAGATTGGAGGCGACCTTGCGACGAAATGAAGATGCATTTTCTGTTCGGTAAGTTCAATATGGTTTATTTCTCATTAAAAATTATAATTACACTAGTTTAAATTTATTAGGAACGAAATTTCTCATACACTAAATTTAACTAAATAGGTAGGTATACCTATAATATACAGAAGTATGTCTAAATAAAAAACACATACCTACATATAGTCATACATATACTTAAGTATGAATATGTACGGTTAAGATTATTATTTTGAAAATAATCGTTTATTATTTCATACATTTAAATTTATTTTGATAAAATTCAGATTCACATTTCACTACCTAATAACATGGAAATATCAGTAGTCTTTTCAAATCTGTTTGCATTAGCAGAATTTTCTTTGCAGGCTTTTATTAGGTTTGAAATATTTGACAATGAAATTCTTTCAACTTTCTCATTTTCAATTTAAGAATTGGAAGTAGTGTCACTCCTTTATTTGATCTCTTCAGTACAGTCGCCACATAATAATAATAATAATAATGAATTTATTTTCCGTTAGACAATTACAATAACTATATAGGAGTAAGTAGTCAGTTATAAATACAACATAGGTATTAAATTAAAATTACATTAAAAGCAACCCTAACAATAACAATAAAAATTGGAAACACTCTTGTCACCAATTTAGTCATGAGCATAGAATTCATTTATGCCATAAAAGCATCTGTCGACAAGGTATTTTTTTATTTTTTTAGATTACATTTAAAATAATTTATATATTTTATCTCCCTTAAATACCGTGGAAGTTTATTAAAAATTTGTACACCCATGTAGTCTGGTGAATTGCGAGATAAAGTATATTTACAAAATGGTAAATAAAATTAATTTTTTTGCCTAGTACCTATTCACATTATGAACATCTTTAATTAATTTATAGTCACCAATATCCCTACACGAATAATATCTAGAAACGTCAGCTACACATCTTAAAATTCTTTTTTGTGTTATAAACACATCTGAAGCCAGGGAGGAGTTACCCCAAAAGATTACTCCATAACCCAGTCGTGATCCTACCTGCGCATGGTATAAACATATTAGTTGTTCTTTGGATCAGATCGGTTTAATATTTCTAAATAAATAACACACCGAATTTAGTTTTGTAGTTAGGTTTGCACAATGCGTCTTCCAGCTTAAACACACGTCAATCACAATACCCAAAAATTTCGTGTGATCCACGAAATCTATTGCAGATTTATTTATGTTAATGTTTACCTTAAAACATTCTTTTTGTCTGTTGTGGAATCGGATAATTTTCGTTTTGTTGTTCTTCAGAAAAAGAAAGAAAAAGGTTATTCGAACTATACCAGTCGGTTACCCTTTGTAATACTCCATTACATGCCATCTCCAATTCTTTATCTGATTTTTTTGATATAAGCAGTGAGGTGTCGTCTGCATACATTACTAGAGAAGCTTCACTTGATATCACCTTCTCTAGCTCATTAGTATATATCAGATAAAGAAGAGGACTAATAACTGACCATTGGGGGACTCCTGTACCTATATAATTATCCTCTGAATTGATCTTATATTGAAAATTATTATTTGTATGTGGG